TACTACACTTGTTAGCTTCTGAAGAGAACACTTTGTACTTTGAAGCAACAGTTTGCATCTTTTTCTGTTATGACAACCTCTAATTAAATTATGTTCCACCAACAAAGTACATTGAGTTAGGAGAATTAGCTTTTACAAGGAAAATTAATTACCAGTCTTACCAATCCAGTCTGTTAAGATAAGGGACTGGACTTAAAATCCTGACCTCAAACTAAAGAAAAATGTTGCATTCAAGTCATTCATTTACCTCAAGTGACTTCAGTTCAACTAATGCAGAAGTTTGAGTCTAAATCACGCGCAAAATTAAGTTGATGCAACTACCAACATTACTGTGTCAACGTAACACATCAAAATAATGTTTGCAACTTAAAACATTTATATAAATCAGTAAAATAAATGTTTTAAAACAGGGATCTCCAACTCCGGTCCTCGTGAGCTACTGTCCTGCAGGTTTTAGATGTTGCTGTACTGCAACACACCAATTAATGGATCATTAACAGACTTGTGTAGAACTTGACAACAAGCTGCTGTTGGAGATCCATCAATTGAGTCAGGTGTGTTACAGTACGGAAACATCTAAAACCTGCAGGACAGTAGCTCACGAGGACCGGAGTTGGAGATCCCTGTTTTAAAATCATCCAACCACCCATGTAATGAAATGGTGAGAAGAGGTCCCTTGAGCTACTTTAAAGAGCTTAGTAATACTTTCGTGCTTCTACTTGAGATTTTCAGTGATCTCAAATGTCAACCCTGTGAAGACGGTTTGTTTTTGGTCAAAGGTGGTTTGACCAACCAGTCTGAACCCGACACTGAAGACTTTACAGAAATTTACTTCACTCCCAGCAAGTAAATGCACTTATTGCAGCAGCTCCACTGGAATGAATTGATTTCCGTGGTATGACCAAGCCTTCAGGTATGGGAGAAGGGAGGGGAGGGGGAACGGCCACTGTAAACGTTTGAGCAATCAAGGCATCCACTGCTTCAGCGTGCAGTTTCCAGCAGTCCAGAGAAGTTGGGCCCCGATTCAAAATCTCACTCGCCTCTGGCACACACGATTAAAAAACAAACACACGCATATGAGGCTGTGTGAAAGGAAAGGATTAAATCACTGCGTAAATGTGCCAGAACCAGTTGTCCCTGCACAGCCGGACTAAAACTATTTAATACATCAATGCTTCATTTGCTGCATGTTTTATTACCCCGCATTAGTGTTCACGTGTCTGTCTACATGCACGCTTCGCCTCAGAGTTATCGACAAGATGGCAGCGACTCAGATCATGTGTTGAAACTGCAAGATATTAGTGACAGCTTAAAGTAGATGTATGGGGGGAAATTAGATTTTTCTTGAGATAATTTTGGTAGATATTGAGACTTTAATCACAATTTTGGATTTCTTTTCAACTGAAACAAATATGAAGTTCCCTTAAATTTAGAGAACATGATTTATAGTCTCTGTAGCACCACAATGTTTCATTTCTAATCGTGTTTTGTGACAAAAGATTGCACCTCATGCGATTTTGGACGCGGCGATTGCGCTAATATTTTGGAAAATACTTTACGAGAAGCAAATTCTACTGCACCGACAGATTTTCTTGAAATGTAACAAGTAGAAAAATTGTTGATGTCAGCTTGGGCGTGATAGTTTTTCTGTTTTAGCGTGAGAAACTTCATCCGCTGTCTTATTTGCTGAGTTAGAAACACTGTTCCTTAAAACCACCAGCAGCTAAAAGGCCAGAGGAATGCGTGAGAGTCTGCGAAAGGTCAACAAACATTATTGCAAAAAGGTTCTTTATCAGTTCATCTGGACAGTGTCAAATCAGCATTTCACTGTCTCGCTTGGCCACTTTGTCTGAATACATGCAGCTACACTCGGCCTGTGTGGCCCTATGGGCAAAAGTCTGACGCAACGCTCTCTGTTACAGCATCACGTTTCTTTAAATGGAATTGGGTTCCAGACAACTGAAAGTGAAAACGTCGAGAAGTGGGTGTCATCTTTACAGGTTCTGAAACTCAACGCAGGCTGCCTCCGCTGCTTTATTTCGTCCAAACAGAAGCTCTCCTCCAAGTAAACACACACACAGCCACAAAAGAAGAGGAGTGGGGGGTGGTCAGCCGTGTCAACGCACGAGAAATTCAATTAAGCAGACAGCGGGATGTCTCCGAAACCCAGCCTCCAACAGTCGGCCCCCAGACTCCACTCCCAAGCTTCCCAGCCAACCCCCTCGCTGCCATTCAGCCACTCCCCCCCACCCCAACACCACGGTGACCCACTGAAGGCGCTTTCCGGGGCTGCTTTTATGAACCTAGATGGCAATCCTCTAGCTGAAAAAATGCAAAAAAGTATGAATCAAAGCAGTTTTACACACAACAAACTCATTCCGCTCTCCTCCTCATCTTGCTCCCGTCTGGCAACCGGACAGATGCTGTTCATTTAGCACTCGAGTGGCAATCCTCGAGCTTGTCTCCTAAATGCCCAGGGGAGCCGCTGGCATTTGGACGGCATTAAATAAAGCCACTCTGCGGACCTCACACCACGGGCCCATCTGACCTCACAACATGGTCACTCCACTCGGATTTCAAGCAGTCATCCGAGTAAATCTGTGCTAGTAAGACAGACTGTTTTCTTACTCGTCTGACATGGAGAAGCGGTTAAACTTTCTACCAGTTTTGTGAATTATTTACCAAGAAAAATGATGAAACACCTGTTTGATCCGCATGCTTCTGGGTGTCATAATCCAGCTTGTGTAATGGTGAATCAGGATAGCGTTGATTTGTTGTTGTTTATCAAATCGCATCTGAGCCTACGTCAATAGTTGTACTTTTCACATGCAGTCGTTCGCAATTACAAAAGCCGGGAAAAGATTTGCGATGCTCAGCTTTGTTTAGGACTAGATAGCATCAATCTCATTACCAAGCCACGCGAGCGTATCGTGGTGTATCTGCACATCACTGTCAGCCATGAACACACAGCAGCGCCTGAGCCTCAGGGGGCAACGCAAAGTCACACACATCTAGAGAAAAAAAACAGCAGCAGCTTAGAGACGCGCAGACACAATATTGATGTTACATAATTGCAGCCAAACAGCGCCCGAAATGTTGTCTGTTAGCGTGCAAAGCGTTGTGTGTTTCCGGATTAGGGGCTCCCTCGGCTCTCCCGTCCTTTTTGTGTTTGTTACCTTTTATTTTTTTTCACAATTCCAGGAATGTTCGATGGGTAACATGTGAGCCATGATGTGAAGCCGCTGTCCTGTTGCTGCAAATCAGGGTGGAATGAAAATATAAAAGTTGCAGCGAGATGGAGGATTTTTCGAGTTTATTGCCAAACAGATCATGGTGAGTTATGAGCCCATGTGCTAGCTAAACGAGGCTTAGTGTCCTCCTGTTCCATCATGGCATTTTCATCCCCACTCGCAGCTTTCAGCCGTGTATTTAGGTCTTAAAACAGGGACATTGATTTCTGGTCCCATGCCACACGTTTCAATCGCTCCCTAAGCAGACATGAGTGCTCTTCCCCCCGACCAAAAGACCATGATGATAATCAGCGAACGACCCCAAAACAAAATCAATTTGCTCGAGTCCCCGCCCCTCCTTTTAAAAGCTATTAAGTCCTCCTTCCTTGAGATGCGCGAGTGCATTGACCTAAATCAAACGGTGGGTCTGCGTGGCTCTGAAACAGCCACTTAAGGAAGCTGCGGGTGCATATGTGCCCTAATCAGCCCAATCAAGACTTTACAGTGAGGTTAAGCCAAGACCCCCATGTGTTAATCCTTCACAACAATTCTGATCAGCATATGTTGGTAGAGCACTCAGCCTGACTGCATTAATCTATTAGCAATAAAGCCAAGATGAGGACGTGGGGTTAAATGCATCACTTGCACAGGTTCGATCCGGGTTTACCACATTGTCGGAGGATGATTCTTAGAGTTTCGGCAGGTTTGTGTGGAGTTTAATGGCAAAAAGTGATTTTGCAACATGCAAAAAAAGTTCTTTATCCTTTTAAGGTATATTCAAGGATCCAAATCCAACTTGATACTCTCTTAATAACCATCGTGATGCCCAAAATCACCACTTTGAAGCAGGTAGCCAACTTGGATAAAAAAAAAAAAACCCACATGGCCAAGGTTAGAGCTAACACGGTGTTACTACTACACCACCCGAAGTGTCCAATGATATTAAAGCAAAAACAACTAAGTCTTTTTTTTGTTTTTGTGTTTTTAACAGAATGAGACGTCCACCATTTGACTTTTGGCTTCCAAGCAATGTTGTGTAGCTTAAAAACGTGGTTCTGTTGCATGATTGTCCAGCCTCTTGTTGATATTCACATATATTTTGATGTTTGGATCTAGAATGTAGACGTGAATACGCTCCTACATCCATTGGTCCATCTATTTGAATATTCAATGACGATACAGCCAATAGATGACGAATCAATAGACCTGTATGGATACTCATCCATCCATCCAACCATGAATAGATGGAGAGACAGATGTCCACACATGGACACATGGAAAGAAATGGATAGCTAGATAATATACATCCATCTAAACCTATCCATCTATGTATTGATCTTTCAATAAATGACAGACACATAGCTAGATGTGTGGACATTCACAATCCTATATAGTACATAGATAGAACTGTACTGACTTCATTGCATTCAAAATGACTTTTCTATCAAGTGTCACAACAAAGTTTCTGTTCTCATCAACCCTGTTCATGGGGTAAGTCGCAGCATTTCGCTTCTGCAGTTTTTTTGGTGCAAGAGTTCAAGGTTCAAGGAACAAACTTTGAGTGTTTATTTGCAACAGAGATGTGCTTGTTGCTGGTGTAACTGTATGATGAACCGAACTCACATGTGTGTTAAGGTGTTTACCAAACCCAAAGTGTTGGGTTGTGCCCCGTTTTCGCTTTAATTCACACATATGTGGCTGATTTGTTGGTGTTTTAGGACAGGATCTGGCCTGAAAGTGTTTATTTTGGAATTCTTCAACAGCCTCCACTCTTGGATGTTGGGTATGTGTGCAGATTACAGCAGTCAGGTGTGTATTAGTGGTTCCACAGTGCGTCAACTCACCATTGAGTCCGTTGGGGATGCTCCTGTGGTGGTGCGGCGCCGACAGGTCATCCATGGACCTCCTCATGGTGGGACCCATCTTACTGTTCTCCGATGGCTTGTGTATGTGGTTGTGGTTGTGGTGATCCGGGCTGCCGGCGCTACCTGTGCTGGACGTGCTACTCCCGTCTCCAACATCCCTGACCGTGCCGGTGCCCCCGTTCAGGTTGGTCAAGCTGGACTGACTGTCTATGGAGCTCCTGGATCCTGCACCGTTCCTCTCCTCGTCCAGCATGAGGATGATCTCCTTCAGTTCAGAGTTCTCCCTCAACACCGTCTCCTGGTTGGCCTCCAGCTCCTTGAGCTTCATCATGTAGGTGCCCACCTCCTTCCACATGGCGCTGGCAGTGTATCGGCCGAAGCGTTGCCACTCCCGGGACAGCTTCTTGCCCTTCTGCCGGTCGTCGTCCAGGAAGCAGCAGAGCTCCCGGAGCTCATGGTTGTCATCCTGCAGCTTCTGGTTGATCTCCTTCAGGCTCCGGATTTCGTGCAGGTGCACCTGCAGCCTCCGGTTGATGTCTTTCATCATGTTGCCATGCTCGATCATCAAGTTCATTTTCTCGCTGTCAACCCTCCTTAATTTCCTGAGCAGCTCCTCTTTGCTGCAGCGCAGGAGCTCCTCGTCCGTCAGCTGGCTCAGGTCATCCTTCGGCCCCTCGGACGGATTTTTAGCCATGACTGTGTTTGGCTCCTAGTCTCAGTTCGTTTCTAAAGCGGCTTAAAATCAACTATGAAAACTCCTCTAACCCAACCTCAGCTGCGGGATCGTGTTAAAAGACGAATACATTGTCTGAAATCTGAAAGTATCGTTACGCGCAGCTCCTCAACAGGCCGATAAATGAAGAGGAAAATATTAATGTGATGCTATGGCAACCCGAGCATGAACTGAATGGCCCCCAAAGAAGAAAAAAAAAGCCTTTATGGATCTCGGAAACAACTCACATTCCGTCAATAGCGAACACACATGATTTGAAATCGATCAGCAGAGATTTTCAATCAGCTCCTGGTCCGGAGCGCCGAGTCCTGTCAGCAAAACGCAGCGCGTCCCATCGCAATGTGTGCCATCTTCTCTGGACATCACTCCATTCAAACGGCAGGAGCACAACAACACGGCTTCTTTTGAATTATTGAGCCAAAAAAGAAAAAAGAAAAAGCGAGTTTGGGAGAAAACGTGTTACCTTTCCAAGCCGACTTTCTCCACGAGCGCTGCGCTCTCGGACGCGTTTTGCCGTCAACAACGCTCCTCGGAGATAAAGCTCTTCACTGAGGTGCTGCTGGACGGAGGACTCGATCCTTTCCACCCAGCCAGCTCGGAATTATCCGCGGACCCCTCCTCCTCCTCGTCCAAGCACTCGGGTTTGAAATCATTCAAGAGGATTTGGTCCAAGACGGCCAATCAAGACGTGGGAGCGAAGTGGGCAGCAGGTAGATGAAAAGTGCGCTGGAGCCTCCGAGGCGCAGGCTCAGCCCTCTTAAAGGAACAGCGAGCAGCTCCGGGACTGCACAGGATCACTGAAAACACAAGGATATACAGGAAAACATCATGGAAACGCAACGCACTGTGGCTCTGGACACTTGTTTTTAAATATTTCAAAGTGAAATTAACACATGTATTAAATAAAATGATCTTTAAGAAATCCCTTTAAATTAAAAAAATGTTTTGTAAAACCCACTTAATACGGATTTTTGTCACTCTTGAAGCTCAAAAATGTTCCTGAGTAACTGGCTTTTTAAGAATTATTTTATTTTTAAAATGAAAAATAACCACTAATATATTGATAACAACCTTCTAATACAACATGATCATCACTTAATGAACTCGTTTTTATTACAAAGTGTGAAAATAAAACCTTTAAATAACGAATAAGGTCTTTGAAATGTGTTAATTCTTTTAAAAATGTAGTTTAAGCAGAGTTTAACAGGTGCTTTTGACATTCCTCAACAGGCTCACAGCGCCCCCATGTGGACACTATCAGTAACTACAAAACCATCATATCTGGTATATAAAATTTAACAGTAAATTATAATACTCTTCCTGGAAGTAATTAAAAAAACAACAACAACACTACTTCCCCTACTTTCTCATTTGTCTGATTAGGTTTTGATGGATGTATAGGTGTTTGCAGGAGGTTTTATGATATGAGATGGTACCATGTGTGCATTATATTGTTTGCAATAATAATATTATAACATGCTTTATTTATAGAAAGAAGTGTTTTACAAGGAAAACACATAATGAAAAAAAAAAAGGAATTAGAATTGATTAAATAAACGAAATAAAATAATTTAACTCAAGCAGTTTCTGGCCGTTTTGTTTTTTTTTTTTGTTTGTTTGTTTGTTTGTTTGTTTTGCCCCTGTTACATTTTTAGTCACCGTTGGCCCATCTTTTACTGCAATAAAAACTTCTGCACCTCATTGGAAACAGAACAACCGTGGATAGAAAAAGAGACAACTCAGCAATGTCTTGGTGTAGTGTGACAAAAATATATGTGATTTTTAAAAAAGAATATTAAATTAAATCAATATTTTTTTTTTTTTTTAAAGTTCATTTCTTTGATTATCTGTTTTTACACTTTCTGGCTCTGGTAAATCGTGTAATTTTGGCATTTGGAAAAAAAAAAGAAAGAAAAAAAGAAAAGAAAACATGCTGTTTAAACCTGCTGGTGTGTTTTAGGCTTCAGGGGATTAAACAAATACAACAATCACCATCTGTTGAGAAAAAGCCAACAGATAAATGTGCATCTTAGGAAGTTTCCACTGACTCTCAGAACAGCTCAGTCAGTGTCTCAGGTTTATAAAACCTCTGAAAACCCACCTGTACAAACTGGCATTCTTATATTTTATGTTTTCATGTTTTATGTTTTCCTTTTTTTTTTTTAAATTAATGTATTCTTTTTTCTATATATTTTAAGGCCTTTTAAAAAAATATATTTCATTGTTATTTTTTGAGGTCCTTTTTTCCGTACAGCACCTTGTAACTCAAGCTTCACAAGGTAAGTAAAGACTATTATCAGCCGGTTGATAATCAGAGGCAGAGGCTTGGTTACTTTTTGATAACGACCACACCCACAAATGTCAGTCTGTCCCTTTACCAACACAAAAAAAAAGAAAAGAAAAAAGAAAAAGAAAAAGTCAGTGCACAGCAAATGGATTCTTACACTGTTCTTTATTTGAATTTGTAAAAAAAACTAATCAGAATCCTTTTTACTGCCATTATGCATACGCTTCCATACACACAACAAAATTACAGTCAGACGTCATCTTTCAGCAAAAAAACCCACAAAAACTGTGATATTTAGTGTTTACACATTAGTGTCAAAGCGTAAAAAAGTTCAGTGGGCTCAGCAGTTGTGAAAAACATTGTAATTACACAGACCTCAAGGATAACTTTGAGCAAGATTAAATGTGCCACTGACATTGCATTCCCCTCAAAAAACAGTTTTCTTATATCTTTATCATTGTTAGAAAGCAGCATCAATGATCAGAATTACTTCCTATGAATGTAGTGTGTATTTAAATCAAACATGATGCTACTTTCTCTATAGATGATTTTAAAAGTGAACAGTAAAAGTCTTGCAGCACAAGAGGCTTCAGGCTGATGCAGGAGTACGAAGCTAAGCTGGTGTAAGCAACCCAACCACCCAGTTTCACCATATGCTCAATTAGTGTTTTTGTTTTTTCATCTGTTATGGTACTCCACGACCAGTTAATTTTTGTACTTTCTGTGACTAATAGTGCAAACGACTCCACTCTTTGGCCGGAGGGTGCCGGTGTCCAGGATGTCGAAGCTTTGTCCCGGGACGAGGGTGAAATCGTATCTCTGGAGCAGCTTGGCCATCACCACTTTGGCCTCCATCTGAAAACACGACAACGCCCATTGAGTTCATGCGTTTGTGTGTTGTGGGTCAGTGTGTTGTAATCTTGCCACACCCACCTGAGCAAAGTTCTGTCCCAGGCATGAGCGTGGTCCGAGGGCGAACGGATAGTAGCAGTAATAAGGTCTTGCAAAAGAAATGAGAGGGAATTTAAGATATTACATGCAACTCTGACTTCTTTATCTTCGACGACGATTAGGGGTGTAACATGATAGACTAAAATGTTATGTAAAAAGTGTACGCAGCTTACTTGGGAGCGTCTGGGTGAAATCTGTCAGGATCAAATGTCAGTGGGTCCTTGAAGAACTTTTCCATTCTCGAACTCACATAGGTGCTGAACTGAATTTTAGGAAAAAATCAATTTACATTGTGAATTGTTTGAAATCCTTCACAGGTAAACTAAAAAAAAGTTTTGTTAGCCACAATAATAAATCCACATGCCTAATATTTTACATGCAGATGTTTCTCCCGATCTGATCCCATTCATTTATTATTTAGCATTTGCCAATATCTAATACATGCATCCATTATCTATACATCACTTAATCCTCACTAGGGTCGTGGGGGGCTGGAGTCTATCCCAGCTGACTCAGGGTGAAGGCAGGAGACACCTGGACAGGTAACCAGTCTGTCACAGGGCTACACTTAGAGACAGACAACCAAGCACACTCACATTCACACCTACGGACAATTTAGAATCACCAATTAACCTCAACATGTTTTTGGACTGTGTGGGAGGAAGCCGGAGAACCCGGAGAGAACCCACGCTGCACGGGGAGAACATGCAAACTCCACACAGAAAGATCCCGGGTGTCCTCACCAGGATGTGAACCAGCGACCTCCTTGCTGCAAGGCAACGATGCTAACCACCGAGCCACATTGCAGCCCATATCTAATACAATTTTTGTGAATAGGTGGAGACTGTAACTTTCTAATACTGTGGTGACCAGTCCAGGTGGGCAGTTCTGTTACTACGGCGAGGTTAGCTAATAAAGGAGCACTGTGGTAAAGACTTCTATGAGGCTTACTGATCCCAGGCCAACAAACAAGTACATATTAAGATGGAATAAACTAGAACAGTGACGCGACATCCCAGTGAAACGTCTTTGTGTGACAACGGATATAAAATTGCTGCAATCAACCCCAATCTTGATTGCGCTGCCAGAACAGCTCAAAACTTGGACTTGATAAGACTCTGAAGGTGTCCTGTGAAATCAGGCACCAAGTCATTCGTAGTAGATTCTTTAAGATTTGAAATATGTGAAGTGGAGCCTCAACTGATATGTCCTGTTTTTTCCTAAAGGTGTTTGATTGGATTAAGATCTGAGGAATTTGGAGGCCAAGTCAACGCCTCGATCTCTTTGCCATGTTCCTCAAATCATCACTAAACACTGTTTTTTTTGTGTGTGTGGCTTTATCCCGCTAAAAGAGGCTATCAGGGAATATTGCCACCATAACAGTGTGTGTGTGGTCTGTAACAAAGTTTAGCTAAGCGGTGCATGTCAAAGGAGCATCCACGTGAATGCAGGATCCAAGGTTTCCCAGCAGAATTTGCTCAGAGCATTGCACTGTTTTTGCTGACTTGGCTTCTTCCCATAATGCATCTTGCTCCCACCTCTTCCCGAGGTAAACAACGCACACACAGCTGGCCGTCCACATGATGTAACAGAAAACGTGATTCATCAGAGAGGCTATTTTCTTCCATCTTAATTTATCTTATCTTAGTTGATCTTAACTTATCTTAGTTCATCTTATCTTATCTGAGTTTATCTTATCTTATCTGAGTTTATCTTATCTTAGTTTATCTTATCTTATTTTATCTTAGGACCTATCACTGGTGGACAGGACTTAGCATGGGCACTCTGACCGGTCTTCAACCCCATATACAGCAAACTGCAATGCACTATGTGTTCCAACACGTTTCAGCAATTTGTGCATCAGTAACTCATTCTGTGACCACACAGGCCAGCCTTCACTCCCAACATGGATCAATGAGGCTTGATTTTCCTTCTTTGGACCACTTTTGGTAACCGCTGCATACCAGAACAACCCACAAGATCTGCTGTTGTGAAGATGTTCTGACCCAGTCATCTTGGCGATCACGATTTGGCCCTTGTCAAAGTCACTTAAACTCTCACCCATCTTTCCTGCTTTCAAACATATCAACTTCAAGAACTGACTGTTCATTTGGTGCATAATATATTCCACATCCCATGACAGGTGTCTTTGAGATGAGATAGTTAATGTTATTTACGTCACATGTCAGTGGTTTTATTGTTGTGGCGATATTAAAACAGAAGTTCTCTCTCCGCTTTAGAGCTGCAAACATATAGAAAGCCAAAGACTCACTATGCAGATGAATCCTCCAGGTATGTAGATGCCGTCAATGATCATGTCTTCCACAATTTCGCGGGATGTTCCTGGAGCTGTCGGGTAAACTCTCAGAGTCTCCTTTAACACCTGGGACAAGGTAACAACATGAGGTACACCTGGAGTCAAACTAAAAAACTTAGATGAAGCACAGTGAAACAGCAGTACAGAGAGGAGGCAAATGAATGAACTTGTCATTCCTGACAGTGGAAGACTTGTTGGCTAATCAACGCTTAATCCATGAATGAAAATTAAGAGTAAAATTCACTGTTGACACCAAAAGAGTTTACATACCTGGTTGAGGTAGCCCAGTTTCCCCAGGTCATCATAGCTGATGTCCTGTTTCATCCCAACAACATCATCCACCTCCTTCCTCACTCTGAGAAATAAAAATACAACTTTAGAAACCGGTGTTCAGTAGCTATGTTGTGAATTGCTGTGCACTGCATTCGTGGTTCTTACTTCTCCAGTATATCAGGGTGTCTTGCAAGTTCCTGGATGCAGAAAGCCAGCTGATTGGCTGTTGTTTCTTGACCTAAAGTGATACAAATTTGGCAAAATTGAATTAAACATCTTAAAATGGAGAAACAACACACACTAAAGTGATTTTATTCTTTATCTCTAAAAACAAAACAAAAAATGCCTTGAACGACTGGTTCACATGAAAACCCAATGAAATGTGACGATCAACAGTACATCAAAGCAGAAACAAGAAAGACTCACCAGCAATGAAGAACGTCACAAAATTGTCCAACATAAACTCCTCATCCTCTTTAGTCATGCTTTCCTCTGAAATAATAAGAAATTGGAAATGTAAACTCATTGTAGCTGATGTCCCCCCGTCATATCTTCATTACATGTAGTTAAGATGGAACCTTTAGGAACAAACAGCTGCATAGCTAAGTGTGAAACTCACTCCAATATAGCATTTATCTACATTATGCATCTGCTCTTTAAACGTATTAGCATTAAGAAGTAATGATGCACATTAGCCCGTTTCAGATATGCATTCCTTTCTGTTAGTCTGGCGGTACCTGAAATTGCAACTCTAATGAAAACAGATACCAGCAGGCCATATCATTTAGACCAGTGGTTCCCAAACTGGGAGCTGGGACCCCCATGTGCATCCCAAGATAATTTCAGGAGGTCGCCAGATCATTGTCCAAAAATAAATAAATAAATAAAGCCTATATTTTTCAAATAAATGTGTATTAGGGCTGTCAAAATTAACAGTGTATACTTCTTCCCACTCCTTTTATTCAAACTTGTTAATATTATGATTTGATTATGTGATATTATTATTATTTTTTTCTCTTTTTAAAATAATTTTCTTTCATTTTTATATATTTTTTTCCCTCTCATTTGTTCGAAATAAATTCAATTCATTCATTCATTTAAAAGAAAATGAATGTGTTAATGTAAATAGATTAATCTGTGGAGTTAACGCATTAATTTTTAACACATTAATACATGAACAACAAAGTTATTACTCATACATATTAAAAATTAAAATTGGGGGGGTCACGAACACAAACTTATGTTATCTTGGGGGTCGTGGCTCCAAAAGTTTGAGAACCACTGATTTAGACTCACCAATAATAAATGTGATTGGGGTTTTCAAAAAACGTTTAGAAGTTTAGTTTGTTGCTTCCAGCTGTCTGTAGGCGTCGTTCCTCTGAGTGTATTGCATACGAGCAGCAACAGACAGCAGCAGTGACTTCAATAAATACTTAGAATGATAAATTATCCCTGACATGGAGACAAGATCTATCAGGATCTAACAGCAAACTGTGTTTCTTCACTTCAGACATTTGAGCCGTCATACACAGATCCACTGTTGCAGTCACATCATTTGTCACAGAGCAGATTTAGCTTTAGTCTTTTGTTTTTGGTGCATTATTACACATTATGCCTCTTGATACACTGTTCAATCCCACAGTTATAAACACACTGTGGCTCTCTCTGTTGCTGTTGTGGGTATGTCAGAATGAATCGAAGTAACATAAAAACGACCTATGTCTGAATGCCATCACTTAAACATCCCATGTCAGAAAAGGGCTCTACTGAAAAAATGTGGCTCTGTGTATCTGTTACTCTCTTTGTCATACTAGCCCTACAACGCAGTCATTTAAAACGTCTGCCTTGTCTTGTCATACAGATACTGAAACAATCCTCTAATCACATCTGAACTTGAGGGTTTGCAACCTTTGCCAGCGGTTTTGATGATTTGCGTGAGAATGTCCTTGGGGACTTCATCTCCGTTGTGCATCGCAGTCTTTCTTTCGTGGATCCACAGAGCTCCAGTTTTGCGCAGCAGGCGGCACGCTTCCCTCACTTCATTAATGAATGTCCAGTTCTTTGGCTTGTACTAAAATTGCAGATTAGGGATTGTAAAACATCATGCTGACAACATGACTTTCATGCTCCATATTAATGAACGCTGTGGCGCTACCTGAAACATAGCGTCTCTGATATTGTACATCATCCCTTTCAGACATGTCTCGATGGCTTTGGGGAAAGGTGAACTCTGCTGCAGGAGGTTTAAATCCACACCAAAGGCAACCTGGAAGTTAGAAAATAAACAAAAAGTGCAAATATATGAGCTAACTTAGGTACAACATAAACAGAACTTTGGTGTTCAGCTGCTGCTATCGACACATGTATGAAAAATGCGTGTGCTGTAGAGGAAGCAGAGGATGCTGTAAAACTGACTATGGAACAATACCTTAGCAATAACATCCAGGGTAACACAATTGACAAGCTGGAGCATGTTGGCCTCTGTTTTACTATCAGCGACTTCTGAAAGTTTCTCCATCAGTTTCTCTGCCCTCTCATTGAAGGTTCCCATCAGACCTCTCAAATACCTGGAAGTGATCATAGTTATAGAGAGAACAAACCAGGAAAGCCTCACAGAAACTCTGTAATGTTGCCAAGAAGAAACTGAGGAAAAGCTTCCCACAATCTGAACAGGACCAGGAATGATTAAGCACATACTTCCTTAAGTCTTTTTGGAATAACGAGGTAACTCACAAGCTGCTGAACGCGGGGTCCATGATCCGGCGTTGTTTATACCACTGCCCATGATCCCGTGCCGTTACCAAGCCATCGCCCAGGAACCTTGAAGAGACACAGAAAACAAGATACATTCGTAAAGGGTTTGACATCACAAAACAGTGCTGTCACTTCGGAAGCCCAACAGATGACTGTATCACAAAGTACACATCCTCCTCCTTGGTACATTTCTTACAAGTTCAGCTTGAGAACATGGTGCACTGAAATGTACACTGTATGTGAAATAAAGAAACTCTAAATTACCTTTGGCCAAACAGATTGAAGAGCCTATCGTGGAGGAACTTATCTTTAGAGTACTTTGGAGACATCAGGACTTCCTGAAACCAGAACAATGAAAACATTGAAAGACAAGAAGTTTAGATGCAAGTATTATCAAGAATATTCCAAAAAGGGCAG